TGTCTTATCCTATTTATTTTTTTTATTTGGAGTATAGTTGATTTATAATGTTGTGTTAGTTTCAGGTATATAGCAAAGTGATTCAGTTATACTACGTGTGTGTGTGTGTGTGTACTTTTTCAGGTACTTTTCCATTATCGGTTATTACAAAATATTGAATATAGTTCCCTGTGCTATACATTAGGTCCCTGTTTCTTACCTACTTTATAAATAGTAGTGTGTATCCGTTAATCCCAAACTCCTAATTTATCCCTCCCCACCTCTTCCCTCTTTGGTAACCATAATTCTGTCTTCTATGTCTGTGAATCTGTTTCTGTTTTGTAAATAAGGTCATTTGTATCATTTGTTTAGATTCCACATATAAGTGATATCATATGACATTCGTCCTCCTTTGTCTGTCTAACTTCCCTTAGTGTGATCATCTCTAGGTCCATTCGTGTTGCTGCAAATGACATCATTTCACCCTTTTTTTTTATGTAGGCCACCTCATTTGTAGTGATTGGTGGCGGCCATCCTGGGCCATCCTAATCCAAGAGAGACAACAGAAAAGAGACTTTCTCAAGTCACCCTTGGACCGTGTTTGGCAACAAGCCCTCTGGTCTGAAAGTCATGGTTCCCCACTGGCAGTGAGTCGGCAGAGGGAAAAGCCGCGATGAATCAATCCCTGGCCTCACAGGAAGCCTGCCTTCCTGTCAACAAAGAACACAGTGAAAAGCCGTCGACATCGGGCCAGAGGGCCACCGCCTGGCCCCTGTCACAAGGCTCAGACAGAGAGAATCTTGTCATTGATGGGAGGGAAAAATAGGAGAGCCCACCCAACTGTGTTTGCACCTGGTCCCCAAGAGGCCCCTCCTGCTCGGGGTGCGCACCCCCCCGTGGGGACAGCTGGGAAGATGAGGCTGAGGCCCCTCGAATCTCAGTTTCAATAACGGGCCAGATAGTTCCCCACAAACCCACTTGACACTCAAAGCAGAAGTTCTTCAGCATTTGGCAACCCAGTTCCCTTTGAGCATCTGGTAAGTGCCATGCATCAGCTCTCTCCCCACGGGGGAATAAATCCTCTGATCTGTAAAATTTCAAGGCCTCCTGAACTCCTGAAGCCCATCCATCAATGAGCAAATATTTCGGAACTGCCTACTGGCCACCAGGCACTGTGCTGGAGGAAGAGACTAGGCATTTTTCTTCCTGAAGCCCAGTGCTAGGAGGGCGGTGCAGAACTTCCCACGGCTGCCATAACACGTCACTACAAACTCGAAGGCTTAGAATGATAGGAGTGTATTTGCTCACAATTCAGGAGGCAAGACGTCTGGTATCATGATGTTCGCAGGGTTGGTTCCTTTGGGAGGCTCAGAGGGAGGCTCTGTTCCATGCCTCCCCTGGCTTCTTAGGGTTGCCGGCAACCTGTGGCCATCCTTGGCTTGAAGACACATCACCCCACCCTCTGCCTTCATCTTCACATCGCCCTCCCTTCTGTGTATCTCCCTGCGTCCTCCCCTCTTCTTCTAAGGACACCAGTTGTTGGATTTAGGGCCCATTCTGAATCAAGTATGATATCACAGAGATCTTTAATTACCTTTGCCAAGACCCTAGCCCCAAATTAGGTCACATCCTGAGGTTCTGGGTAGACACGAATTTGGGGGTGATGCTCTTTAACCCAACACAGGTAGTCGGATGGTTAAGCAGTCACCATGGAGAGCAGCAAAGGTGATGGCTGAGTCTACCTGAGGCATCCAAGACAGCATTCCTGAGGACCTGAAGAGCAATTGGGAAGCAAATGGTGAGTAGAAGCTAATTCAACGGGAGCAGGGGAAAGTGCCCCCAGAAAGAACGAATCACACAGGTGAGGCCCAGAGGGAGGCCCCAACTGAGGACAGATGTAAGACGGAAGGGGCCATGCAGAGAACCGGTATGGAGGACGTGCTGGTCTTATGAGATCCTCTCCAGAGTTTGGGTTTTATCCTTAGGGTCACAACACGCCTTTGAAGTGTGGGAAGCAGAGGAGTGTTTCTAGAAAGTTCACCTTGGCCAAGGTGAGGAGGATGGACTGAAGTGAGAGAGACCAGATGCAGGGACCCCACGGGTCTATACCTCACGTGAAAGCTCCCAGCTTGAGGATGCAAGTGGCTGAAACCCAGATGTTGCACGTACTGTCCCAGCCAGGTACCTAGAATGACTCCACTGAGCCAAATGGAGGGATTCACCCCAGGCAGACGGTATCGGAGCAGATCCATCAGATCAGCGTCAGCCCAAGTAGAAACCCCAAAAGTCTGAAAGCTGGCACTTGCTCTCAATCTAAGCAGAGAACGGGGCTAGGCACTGGAGCAAACAAACGTATAAACACTTGGCCCGGCTCAGATACACACGCCTTCTACTTTTGTGGTCCCTTAGAGTTAAGTGTGCCTTAAATGGTCCAGTACGTCCTGTCTGCTCACAGACAAGCCTGTCTGACCTCAGTGCACCCCACCGACTTCCAGTCGCTCTTCAAAGGTCACCTTCACCCTTGAACCCCTAGGCTGAGGTCCACGCCCTCCCCACAGACTCCAGAAATTCCTGGTGCAGGCTCATGTGCTAGATTGTAATCTGTCCTTTCCTTTCATTCTATCTCCACTACCAGACCTTGAGGGCAAGGATTTTTATCTTGTTCGCCTTTGTGTTCCTCGCTCCCAGTACACATTCGCGCACAACCCCACACACAAAATAGGTGATATCGGATGGATGGATGGACGGACGGAAGGATGGATGGATGGGTGGATGGGTGGATGGATGGATGGATTTCTTCATGATGCTCTACTGGCTTCAAACCAAATTCATCAACCAATTAATTAAATCAACATGCCCCCATCAATTACTCTATAAGTGCTTTGTGCTGCCCTCTCCCTCCCTGAGAGTCAGGGTAAGACATCCAAAGAGATGCTGGCTTGGCATCCTCAGGACTCACCTCATTCCTTCTGCGGCCATCTTATCAAGGTTGTCAGTGTCCTTCGTTTCTGCCCAGTTAGCTCCCAGGTCACCCCACCCCACGTCATCTGCCAAAATGATGATGAAATTCGGTCTCTGGCGTTTTGTGTCCCCACTGAAGCAAAAATCCACAAGAGGATAAAGACATCCCAGGAAACTCACCCCCACCAACAAAACCTTTAGGAAAAGCCAGGCCATGGTGATAAGGGGAGGAGTGATGGCGGGCCACAGCCAGAAACTTTTCCAAGAGTTCCCTTCTGCTCACTTTCAACTCAGGGAGTCCTGGCGAGCAGTGGTGGGGTTTGCAACGGTGATCGTGGTGGTGCTGGTGGTGGAGGCAGTGTCTAGAGGGATGGTGGGGCTACAGAAACAAGGCCCCCATCTGGAATCCTAATTCGAGAGAGTCAGCAAATTTGCAACCCTGAACTTGGCTTTCTCCACTGCAGCTCTGTAAGATGACCGGCTGTGCGCGTTACTCAGACATCAGTGTCAGCAGCTGCTCTTTGGCCACTTACAAGACGTCCCTTCTGTGCTCAGGGATGCGGGAGCCGGAGCACAAGCCTTGCATCTGTTCGGGACTCCAGCTGGCGAGTGCAGGATAAATGCTCACATCTGCAGAACACCTGGATGTTCTGGAAGCCACAGTCGGCCCCAGTCGAGTTTCTGAGTCCCAGATGGTTGAAGGCTTCATGTGTCTGTAAGGTTTCCTGAAAGAACAAAAATTGACAAGAAAACAGAGTTAAAACTGCCAGTGCAGCTGTGTTTTACTCAGTAGCTTAGGAAATAATCACTTTTCCACGCCAACAGATGTTTTCCTTCTTATTCAAATATTTAACGGGTTCATCAGTTTCTCCACCTGAGAAATACCGATGCTTATAATATTTGCCATAGCCACCTAATCACAGGGGTGGAAGCGACACTGGAGATCATCTGTCTCTGCTGGCTCACTGTATACGTGAGCGCAGCGAGGCCCCGTGTTCTGCAGGGGGCAAGGACCAGCACCGGACTCTGAAGTCCCAGTGCTCCCGCCACCTCCATCCCACCGCGCTCCTCTGATTCGCAAGAAATTCCCAAACTAACTGTGACCTTATCAAACCCGTTGAGGATTCTAAAAGAAAGGATGAGACCCTTATCACCAAGACATGCTGTAAACAAACATTTCTACATAAAATTCTTGATAGAAAACTAATTTGGGGGGGGGAAGGACAGTAAAAATATATATAAAGTTATAAAATTAAATATATATAAATACATATGAAGTTAATGGTAGACACTAGGTGGACAGTCTATGGGAGCGCACTGTAGAACTCTTTCCATCCTGCTGTATGTTTGAAATGTCTTGTAATAAAACGTGAGAAAAAATTGCCAAAAATTTCCATTAAAAGTGTCCCTTTACATCTTGACAAAAAGAAAATCTTAAGACATGCTCAGTGAGGGCGTCTCACATTTGGACGTACATATGAATCAGCTGGAGATTTTATTAAAATGCAGATTCAGTGGTGAGGCTGGGGCCTGGGATCTGTCTGTCTAATGAGCTCCACGTAAGGCCAGTGCCAGGCTTTGGATCACATGTTAAGTAGCAAGATGCTCAGATAACAAAAACGTCATGATTCTGGTCTCAGAAGAAAACCAGCTAACTGGAGATGATTAACCTCGCTGATGCTTGACCTAACTAGAGATGATTCAGCTTCAGTGGAAAAACACAAAAGCAATCAATCAGGTTGAGTTTTGAAAGACAGAAATGGAAGGTTATGCATTCCACTGACCGTAGGCTGCAAACAGGAAGCAGAGAATAAAACCATATTGCCCCCCCACCGCCAGTTCACTTAAAAGCCCTTGGTTTACAAGGTTAGTAAGGAGACACAGACTTGAAATTCGGGATCGGATTAAAAACTGCAGTCGAATGCCCAACCCATGGAGGAGATTAAAGGAGAACCAGTTTGCAATACATGAAGGTGCTACCCGGGCTGGGCTTACGACAAGTGCTATTTTCAGTCATGTATCCCTGCCCTGGAGGGAGGAACACACAGCTGACAAAGCCAGCCCACCAACCCAATGGCCAGCCCGAGTGGAAGGGAGTGGTTCTGGGGGTATGCAAATTCCAAAAGACCTAGATAAACTCAAAACGATAGGCAGACATGTACTTAATCAAAATGAAAGGAAGTCCAAGTCCATAGCTATGGTTCTCTGGAAGCCAATGAATCCACTGTTCAGAAATGTGAACTTCTTCCGTTTTCCAAAAGTAAAGTTATTATTTCAAACTCAATTAGGTTCAACTGGTATTTGTTGATCTGGAGGCCCCGAAGACTTCCTCCTTTCTAGAAGAAAGAGCCTTGACACGAGGTGGGGGCCAAACACTTGTTGACCTGCTGGGTGATTCCCAGCCTCATTTTACTGGCTTCTGACCATGAGCAACAAGTATTGAAAGCTTTTCTTCTTAAAGCTACTTAACTCGGAACCCTAGAGTGGCCTCATTCTTCATCCATAATCCATTTCGGAATGACCCAACATAAAACACTTCAGGGGGAAAAAAAATCTCTTAAGAAAGAAGTTAAAATTAAGGTGGGAACATAAATAAACAGATTGTTTTTCTTAGGAGTTCCATGAGAAAACATTCCTCTGAGGATTTTCAAAGAGAATCATTAATACTTAAATTTTTCATAGAATGGAAATAAGTTAATTTAGCCAGTACACCATTGCATTATCCTTCACGCCCACACCTCCAGGGAGACATTTAATCCTTTCCCCCATTTATTTTTTTTTTTTAACTAAAGGAAAAAAGTAAGTCAGACATGCAAAGAATGGACTCCAAGCCACGGACTTTGATTAAGATCCAAGCTGACATTATGGAAACAGTATGGAGGTTCCTCAAAAAATTAAAAATAGAACAACCATATGATCCAGCAATTCCACTTCTGGGTATCTGTCCAAAGAAAATGAAATCTTGAAGAGCTATTTGCACCTTCATGTTTATTGCAGCATTATTCACAGTAGCCTAAGTGTCCACTGATGGATGGACAGATAAAGAAAATATGCTGGATACATTATACACACATACACACAATGGAATTATCCAGCCTTAAAAAAAAAAAAGAAGGAAATTCTGCCATTTATAACAACCTGGATGAACCTGGAGGACAATATGCTAAGTTAAATAAGCCAGGCACAGGAAGACAGATACTGCATGATGTCACTTACATGTGGAATCTAAAAAAGTGGAATTCAGAGAAGCAGAGAGTAGAACGGTGGTTGCCAGGGGGTGGGTGGGGGGGAGTGAGGGAAATGGAAAGATGTTTGTCAGAGGACAAAGTTCCAGTTCTGCAGAATCAATACCTCCTGGAGATCGAACGTACAGCATGGTGACTAGGGTTCATAATACAGCAAGTTGCTAAGAGAGTAGATGTTAAATGTTCTCACCACAGGGGAAAAAAAAAGAAGAAAAACAAACAAACAAACAAACACCTTAAAAGGTAACTACGTGGGGTAAGGAATGTGCTAATTAGCCTGATTGTGGTAATTATGTTATCATTTATATGTCTTTCAAAACATCACATCGTATATGGTAAATAGTACAAATTTGATTTGTCAATTATATCCCAGGAAAGCTGGGGGGAGTTTTTTAAAAGATCCAAGCTGAGATGTTGAGCTCAGTGTCTGATCTGAGATTACTTTCCCAAATTTTCTTCAAGGGGAGCGTGGACACAGGCAAGGAGCACTCCTGGGAGCTAAGGAAGAAGGGGGAGTCTTTGGCAAATAAAGCTTCCACCCTCCATCCACTGGGCTGGAAGGTACTCGACCATCTTGTTCGACAAACTGTGAAAGGAAGGCCCACCTGCTCCATCCGAGCAGAACAGACTAGGGTAGATCTCGCTGAGCACGAGGGTGAAACTTGCCCAAGTCTCAGCGCCCTTCAGGCCGCAGGGGAGCGAGCTTTGGTAGCCAACCCGCTTTGCAGTGGTCTGGGTTCTTCTCCACGACCCCTGCTGGGTCTGTGGAAGTTGGCCTCCCTTTGGATTTCCGGCTGACTGATAGGGAAAGGTATTTACAAGCCAGGAAACAATCCACAGGCAGGCTGTAGGCCAGAAGGGCTGAGAAGAGGAAGGGATGAGGCAACCTGAAGATGCGCTTTGCATCTTGCACACCAGGGCTGGGGGCCCATCACCTGACCCTGGCTCCCCGTGGGCCCCCTGTGGCCAAGTGGCCTGTGAGAGCGCCTTGCAAACAGCTGAAACAACAAGAAGGTCGGGCAGACCTCTCTGGCCGAGGGCTCTATTGGTTTTCCAAAGGCAGAGCTTCTGATGAGCTGAGGCCAAAAAAGACAAAGGCACAGAGGGAGTGTGAGCTCTGGTTGCAGAGAAATGTTGATTCACCAGGCCAGTCGGAACACGGTCAGTCGGTGCGCTGGCTGCGGCCAGGAGTCACATGGGGGCTGCCAGAGGGGCTCTGAGGCACCAGCTGCCCACGTGGAGTCTAAAATGATCCCCCTGCACGCCCCCCCCGCCACCCCCACTCGGGGCATTCAGTCACCCTGCCAGCGAACAACATGGACCTAGTCACAGGTCTCCATCTGGGCGCTGCGCTCAGCAGGGAATCAAACCCAGAACCCACTGCCCAAATGCCACTGACCTGCTTTTAGGGGGAAGCCATGGAAGGAGGGCAATGTGTCGCGGAGGAAATCAAAGCAGGAAGGGGATCGGGGGCGGGGGCTGGCAAGCAGGTGCAAAGTTAAAGAGGGAGGTCAGGGACCACCTCGCTGGGAAGGTGATCTTTCTCCAAGGATCCACAGGAGGGAAGGGAGGAGGCTCTGGGGCTCACGAAGCTGGGCAGCTATGGGAAGGAACGCGAGGCAGAGAAACCTGCAGGGCACAGGGCTGGCACGTGAAAGGGCGGCCAAGAGGCCACTGCCGAAACAGTAGACTGAGGGCAGGCGAGGATTAGGTGGAATCCAGGGTAAGGCAGCCTCTACTGGGGGGGAAGGGAAGCCAGAGGAGGGTTTGAGCAAGAGCGGCAAGTTCGGACTTACATCAGAGCAGAATCCCTCTGGCTGCTTTGCTGGGAATAAATAATTGTGTCACAGCGTGGCACAGAAGAGAAGGCGAGAGGTTAGGAGTCCATTGTGTCAGTCCAGGTGAGCCCAGGTGAGAGACAGAGCTGGAGTGAGGCCAGCCAAGTGCCCAGGGCACAAATTTAAGGAAGTGGCACCCCACATCAGGTGCCCTGACCGTGCTGACAGGGCGCACCTCCTTAAATCTTGCCTCACCCTAATCCAAGCCCAAGTGCAGAGGAAAATCCAGTTACCTTGGTGGCCAGGTCAGATGCTTATTTACTGTCTACGTGTAATAAACATCCTCCTGGCCCCTTCCCCTGCCCCCAGACCCCAGCGTATCAGTTTGGGGCTGGCCCAACTTGGAGAGATTTCTTTTTTTAATTTTTTAAAGATTTTCTTTCTGGTGGGGGAGGTAATTGGGTTCATTTATTTATTTTAATGGAAGTACTGGGGATTGAACCCAACGCCTCGTGCATGCTAAGCATGCACTCTACCCCTGAGCTATACCCTCC